TATTCACATAAAAGTCAACTGTATTCACACAACTGTCACCTGTATTCACATGTCAGTCACTACTGTATTCATGTAACTATCGACTGTACAGTACAGAACTCAACAAGAATTTGCCATCACGGCAGCATAAAGCACAAAGCACAAAGGGATGGATATGTACTTCTATGTCTTCCTGTACAATGTCCCGACCAAAGAGGCAGTTGTATGAGCAGCATTGATGCAGAGTAAGTGAGGGAGCACTGCCTTCTTTACAGCTATCAGCCATAGTCAAGCCAATCATGGCGTCCTGTATATATTTGAGGCTCGGCCATAAAGACTTCTGGTTGACTGTATAAGCACGGTGCTTGCTGTTAGAGGTACGATGACCCAACAGGGCTTGATTTAAGGAAACTTGATAATACTTGCATGTGCATGTTGATATGAAAACTTAGTTGCACCAGAAATAACCAGGTTGTTGTGGAGAAAAGAAACGCTTAGTCAGACACAAATTTGAAAAAAATTTAACATGCACTTGGTGCATGTAGAAATAAATATTAGCCTTTTACAGCGTTAGAAATTGGCACTAGTCCTGTAGTCCTTACCAAACTGCCCAATAGTAAAGGTATCCTAAGGACTCGTAGAAATTGGCCCATTTTAAGGGTTTTGCTATATGTTATCATTATAAGGACTAGTGGACAAAAACTGTTAGTTTCTAACCCTGATAGGTTGCATTTTTGAAGAATTGGTTGTACAGGTGCAAATTTTAGATGGTTAAATCGAGCCCTGCACACTATCAAACAGCCCACACAGCTTCCAGCTCATTCTGGGATGAATGCAAATTTATCTGAAACATTAACCAGCCCGAATGGTTTATCATTTTTAAAGACACACCCCCTTCTACCTGCCCTCACAATACCTTTGGTTTCACATTCGAGTGAGTGAGTGAGTTGGGTTTCGTGTCGCTTATGTTTTCAATGAACAGTGGCGTGACAGGTGTATCTATTTTGCGTTCTTAAAACCTGCTACAAGTGATTAGAAGGGTTGCGTATTGGCAAAATACTTTTGTTGCGATATATTGGGAGACATATTGGGAGCTTAAGTGTTTGACAGTGAGAGCACAAGAAATCTCACTGGGGAGACATGGGTGAGGTCCTGGGGACCAATTCAGGGAGACAAGCATGAGGTACTGGGGACCACTGCTGGGAGACAAGCATGAGGTCCTGGGGACCAATTCAGGGAGACAAGCATGAGGTACTGGGGACCACTGCTGGGAGACAAGCATGAGGTACTGGGGACCACTGCTGGGAGACAAGCATGAGGTACTGGGGACCAATTCAGGGAGACAAGCATGAGGTACTGGGGACCACTGCTTGGAGACAAGCATGAGGTACTGGGGACCACTGCTGGGAGACAAGCATGAGGTACTGGGGACCACTGCTGGGAGACAAGCATGAGGTACTGGGGACCACTGCTGGGAGACAAGCATGAGGTACTGGGGACCACTGCTGGGAGACAAGCATGAGGTCCTGGGGACCAATTCAGGGAGACAAGCATGAGGTACTGGGGACCACTGCTGGGAGACAAGCATGAGGTACTGGGGACCACTGCTGCCTGGAAATCACTCCAGACCCAACATCTGACTTGATATGAGCATTATTCACATACATAAAGCTCTAAGTATCCGTCGAGGTGGTATCTCCCCAGACAGAATACCCTGTTACTTTCCTAATTCTGTGACTGTTTTCTGACAACAAAACAACCAATGCTATCATAGCATTCTGTTCCAGAATAGCCTTGTCAACACCTACACCCTCTCACACAAACCCCCCAGATGTGGGGGAAAAAAAGGGAAAATGAGGGAAAATGAGAGAAAAAGACAAAACAGAACTTTCACCTTTAAAAAAATAATTAAATTCAACAGGAAGAAAAACCCAAAACCAAATGGACCAACTTCCTAGACAACCCCTCTTAGTGCATGAACAGAAATTAACGAAATTCTATCAGCTGATTTTTTGTGGGTGTGTGAATTTAACCCAAAGATCAGCTGTTGATTAAATGTAAGATGAAAAGATCATATCTGAAAAATGCAAAAGACAACCCAAAAAGAACGGCCAGAAAGTGCCAACCCCTGCATCTGCATGTACTCTATAAATAAACTGAAAAAATACAAAAACAGCCTGCCTCTTATTCTCTGCACGCATTCCATGGGCTGCCTTAATGTGCATCTATTTTTAGCTCATGTGCATAGCAAGGGTTGAAGCCAGCATGGTCTATTTATAGACTGCATGCATAACGGACTGTGCCTGTTGGGGGCTGAGTTTATTGATTGTAATAGAAAACGATGGAGATGGTGACGTAAGCTGCAGTTTCCAGGGAGAATCATGTACGTGCGTGTGTGCGAGTGTTTGTCACACCTCTGTTGCCAGGGGCAACCACACCTGCATCGCCAGGATGAGGAGCAGGGAGGGGAGAAAGAATGTATGGTGCACGGCCATGTTCTGCCCTGACTACAGATTAAATATTATGCTAAGTCCTGTTCTCATAGCTTATATTGTGGTTATTAGTTTAATATGAAACTGCTGCATTTTCAATATAGATTTTTTTTAAATGGAATAAAAATATAAAAAGAGCGAATTTTACATGATCAGTACTTGAAATTTAGACTGTTTCCTCTTACATAAGTAAGAATATGGTCTGTTTTTCCCAAAATGAGCATTAAAAATAAGGGATCTCCCAATGGGAAAGCATATTTCAGGGGGCCTTAGACGACATCACAATAGCTGTAACCTGAAGGATCTCCCTAATTTATTACACTGCTGTTGGGTGAGTTGCTCGTCAAGTTGTTTTGAAGTCAGGGGTGTTCCTACAGAAATAGCCTATTACTGGACAGGAGTGTTTCCAGACTGAAGGGAGAGGGTAGATGCAGGGACGCCGATGCATAGCTTAGTAGGAAATGGGAAGGGTTGAGGTCATAGTTCAGGGGTCAGGGGCTGTGAAACACTTTGTTGTGTTAAGAAGACAAGTTTAACTGCATGGGGTCAAATTGGCTTTAGTTGATGCTTGAGGGCTAAGAGGGCGGGGCAGGGCAGGGGGAGGATGGTGATAGCTTTGGTGGGGCAAGGCAGGGCAGGGGGAGGATGGTGATAGCTTTGGTGGGGCAGGGCAGGGCAGGGCAGGGCAGGGCAGGGCAGGGCAGGGCAGGGCAGTTCAGTTTACTCAGGGGGAGGATGGTGATAGATTGGGTGGGGCGGGGCGGGGCGGGGCAGGGCAGTTTACTCAGGGGGAGGATGGTGATAGATTGGGTGGGGCGGGGCGGGGCGGGGCAGGGCAGTTTACTCAGGGGGAGGATGGTGATAGATCGGGTGGGGCGGCAAGTCGGTGGTATGAGGAGTTTGGTTGAAGATTCATGTCGGCTCAGGGCGATGGATGGTGGGGAGGGGCAGAGTTGGGTGTGGAACAGGGCCAGGCAGGGAACAGAGCTAAGTGACGTGGGTTCCAGCAAGGAGTCAAGTGTGTGCTTGGAAGAGCAAGGGCCTAAGTGGGCGGGGAGGGAAAAAGCAAGGGCTTAAGTGTGTGCTTGGAAGAGCAAGGGCCTATGTGGGCGGGGAGGGGAAAAGCAAGGGCCTAAGTGTGTGCTTGGAAGAGAAAGGGCCTATGTGGGCGGGGAGGGGAAAAGCAAGGGCTTAAGTGTGAGCTTGGAAGAGCAAGGGCCTATGTGGGTGGGGAGGGGAAAAGCAAGGGCTTAAGTGTGTGCTTGGAAGAGCAAGGGCCTATGTGGGCGGGGAGGGGAAAAGCAAGGGCTTAAGTGTGTGCTTGGAAGAGCAAGGGCCTATGTGGTCGGGGAGGGAAAAAGCAAGGGCTTAAGTGTGTGCTTGGAAGAGCAAGGGCCTATGTGGGCATGGAGGGAAAAAGCAAGGGCTTAAGTGTGTGCTTGGAAGAGCAAGGGCCTATGTGGGCGGGGAGGGAAAAAGCAAGGGCCTAAGTGTGTGCTTGGAAGAGCAAGGGCCTATCTGAGCGGGGAGGGGAAAAGCAAGGGCTTAAGTGTGTGCTTGGAAGAGCAAGGGCCTAAGTGGGCGGGGAGGGGAAAAGCAAGGGCCTAAGTGTGTGCTTGGAAGAGCAAGGGCCTATGTGGGCGGGTAGGGGAAAAGCAAGGGCCTAAGTGTGTGCTTGGAAGAGCAAGGGCCTAAGTGGGCGGGGAGGGAAAAAGCAAGGGCCTAAGTGTGTGCTTGGAAGAGCAAGGGCCTATGTGGGCGGGGAGGGGAAAAGCAAGGGCCTAAGTGTGTGCTTGGAAGAGCAAGGGCCTAAGTGGGCGGGGAGGGAAAAAGCAAGGGCCTAAGTGTGTGCTTGGAAGAGCAAGGGCCTATGTGGGCGGGGAGGGGAAAAGCAAGGGCCTAAGTGTGTGCTTGGAAGAGCAAGGGCCTATGTGGGCGGGTAGGGGAAAAGCAAGGGCCTAAGTGTGTGCTTGGAAGAGCAAGGGCCTAAGTGGGCGGGGAGGGAAAAAGCAAGGGCCTAAGTGTGTGCTTGGAAGAGCAAGGGCCTATCTGGGCAGGGAGGGGAAACGCAAGGCCAAAATGTACTAGAGGGCTGAAATGGGAGGGGTGTGATTGTGACATAACCATTCTCTATATTAATGGCACTGCCCTTCAGCCGGCTCTCACAGTGTGCAAGCCAGGAGCGTCTGACAATTAGGAGGGTGTTGAAAGTAAAACTAGCCACAAAGATACTCAAGCAGAAGTATACGAGAACAGATGAAAAAAACAAACTGCCTTGGTAGATCATGTCAATTTAAGGCAACTGTAAAAGAAAATTTAAAAAATAAAATAAAAAGATTCAATATTGAAACAATAATTTCATTAAATTTTGGAATGATCCCAAAGCGACTTTGCGTTGGTGATTTAAGCAGAGAGTATGTTTGTGGTGTATGAACGTCATCCAGCTAAGGTCGGTTGTTGTGACTGTGGTTGGCGAAGGGCCCTAGGGTCTATATTACGTGACACGTAGCGTCTAAAGGACCGGTCTACCTGCAGGCCCACACTGCTGTTCCATCGCAGGGCTAGTTGAAGTGCTATTTGACGTGTTCGTACTTTCGTCTGTCGTCTTCTTGAAGAAGTTGTGCTGCAACCCGTAGTATGGTGTGATGCGAGTTTTCGGGTCATAGTCCAACATTCTTAGAATCAAGTCCTTGAACTTGAGGTAGTCTGCCACCGTGTGACCCGGCTCGCCCGCCCTTCGACCCCCTGGACCTCCTGTTTCGGCACCAATAATATCATGGAGTTTCCTGCTTCCTGCCTGCTTGTACTGGAACAGACAAGAGTGAGTGAGTGAGTGAGTGAGTGAGTGAGTGAGTGAGTGAGTGAGTGAGTGAGTGAGTGAGTGAGTGAGTGAGTGAGTGAGTGAGTGAGTGAGTGAGTGTTTTTGTTTCACGCCGCACTCAGCAATATTCCAGCTATATGACGGCAAGTCTGGACCAGACAATCCAGTGATTGATAACATGAGCATCGATCCACGCAATTGGGATCAATGACATGCATCAACCAAGTCACCGAGCCTGACCACCCACTCCAGTGAGTGAGTTAATGCTTTACGTCACATCGGCAATATTTCAGCCATATCGTGACGAACCACCCACTCCAGCATGGGTTGCTGGTGGCCAATTCAAATGAGGCATCCCCTCTGGTTTGTGTAATATTTGAGGGAGTAAGTGATATGTCTTATGCCACATCAGCACCAAGGATGATTGAGGAGTTAGTGAGTTTGTTTTATCACAGCTTTGTTTGTTTGTTGTTTAACGCCGCACTGAGCAATGTTCCAGCTATATGACGGCGGTCTGTAAATAAGCGAGTCTGGACCAGACAATCCAGTGATGGACATCGTGAGCATCCATCCACGCAATTGGGATATGATGACAGGCATCAACCAAGTCAGCGAGCCTGATCACACGACAAGCATGGGTTGCTGAAGACCTATTCTACCCCGGATCTTAACAGGTCTTATCACAGCTTTGAACAGTATTTCAGTTGTATCACACCTTGTCATCCTGATGTGGGTGGAAAGACTGCCTTTTCATCCAATATGTGGGGGACACCAGAAATGGCCTTCACACACTATACCCATGTTGGGAATCGAACCCGGGTCTTCGGAGTGACAAGCGAACGCTTTAACCACTAGGCTATCCAACCAACCCTCTATGAGAAGTGAGTGAGTGGTTTTACGCCGCTTTTAGCAATATTCCAGCAATATCACGCCAGGGGACGTCAGAAATGGGCTTCACACATTGTACCCATGTGGGAATCGAACCCGTGTTTTCAGCGTAACAAGCATCGCTTTAACCACGAGGCTACCCGACCGCCCCAGAGGGCTAGGAGGAAGAAGTGTCCGAGTGGCCATACCTTTTTGTTATCCTTCGGCCGCTTACAGGCATATGTACCATCAGGTTGCTGGTCAAAGTACTTGCGAGCTTTTGGTGCTTGGTCTAGGATGTGTTTGGGTGGCATCCCGAGCACCTCCACGATCTTCATCATCTGGTCAAACTGCAACAACACAACACAGGTGAATTTAGCTCGGATTTGAGTCAGGGAGAACTGGGATTCGAACTCACGACCATAGGTTTCTGGCGGCCCAAAAGTAACAGGGATAGAAACGTAACTTCTTTACAAATTCTAGGGGAACATATCTCAATACCTTGTCATGTTTGTTGTTTAACACTGCATTCAGCAATTTTCAAGCTATTTGACAGCGGCCTGTAAGTAATCTAATCTGGACCAGCAACTAACCAAGTCCACTGAGTCTGACCACCAAAACATCCTGAGCAATAAGACTGTCGTAAGTCTATGTCAAGGTATGGGACTTAGTGCTAAGATCGCTTTGCACAACGGCACCCTGATCTTTCGAGAAGGACCAATTGCAGGCTAGTAGGCTAGAGCGAATCCGAAGATTGCCATTGGTTTGTTGGTTGGTTGGTTGGTTGGTTGGTTTGTTGGTTGGTTGGTTGGTTGGTTGTTTAACGCCGCACTCAGCAATATTCCAGCTATATGACGGCGGTCTGCAAATAATCGAGTCTGGACCAGACAATCCAGTGATTAATATCATGATCATCAACCCACGCAATTGGGATCGAGGACATGCATCAACCAAGTCAGCGAGTCTGACCACCCGATCCCGTTAGTCGCCTTTTACGACAAGCATAGTCACCTTTTACGGCAAGTATGGGTTGCTGAAGACCTATTCTACCCCGGATCTTCACAGGTCAGTTATTGCGGACACTGGTTCCGACTCTGCTAGTTGGTAGGGAGGGGAACATACCTCATTTGAACCAGCAAAGAGAGGCTCTCCCGTGTGCATCTCGACCAGGATGCATCCTAAACTCCACATATCTATAGCCAAGTCATATGGGATCCCTAGCAACACCTCAGGAGACCTGTAGAACCGACTCTGGATGTACTGGTATATCTGAAAACAACAAACAACGTTTCAAATCGTACATCGTAAGAAAATTTCAAGAGTTCTAAGATAGCCATGGTCAAGTTTGATAGGCATTCTGCTGTATAATGCAGCAGATGGAAATATTCCAGATAAGGTTACCTGTGAATGATTAAGTCTGGAACAGGCAAACCTGTGATTGATATTATAACCGAGTCACTGAGCCTGACAACCTGATTCATTCAGTAACCTCATACAACAAGCATGATACGTAGCTTGGGTTGTATACTCCCCAGGGAGCTCAGAATGAAAAACCGAGTGCTCACTGATCGATAAAGTTGCACTTAGAGCTTCCATGAAGTATGGAGTCATGCACTTAACAAGCTGCTATTATTATTTACAGATTAAAATATTTAAAAAATGCAGCAAAGAGGGTTTGGGTGATCCTGGCACAGTCAGGCTGGTTAGGCTCATCATCAGCTCAGGGCCCTTGCCCCCTCTACGCGCAGCCCAGACAGCGAATGGGACTCCTGCTAGGAAGCGCTGTGTAGTCAAACCCACCCAGAACTTCATCGTTATCATAATTATTATTATTATTATTCCTCAAGGTTAGACACAGCTTCTAGTCATTCAGTCCAGTGATACTCTAGAGTGACTTGCCTTTTCCCTAACTCAAGTTGTAAGAATGGTGGACCAGATGGACATGACATTATTTAGAGTTATAGACCCTTGCTCTTCCAAGCACACACTTAGGCCCTTGCTTTTTCCATACCGTATTCAACGTAATAAGTGCCCAGGGCGCACTCAAAATTACAAATCGGGGGCTCTTATTAGAATATTATTTTGGTGAAAAAACAGAGTCAAAATATAAATTTTGTGGTTTATGCTGACATTCTGAAATGTTTATGTACGAAAGATATTTTTTTCAAGAATTTAACTGCCCATAATTAAGGGTGCATATAACACACAAGTGCGTATCGTACAAGAATAAGAAAGTCTTTTGAACATTGATCAATTGGAAGGGTGCTAATTGTGATTGTTCATGAGCCAATATCTTAGCAAATGTCGCAGTGGGCGCTTATTAGAGCGGGACGCTTATTACGTTGAATACGGTATTAACATCTGTCTGTGTGTTCAGGCGACAGCGGGAATTATTTCACAATACATGACAAGAAACTACTCACCCTCTGTCCTAGCTGACAGGAGCTCCCAAAATCCACTATTTTGATTGCACTCCTCTTGGGGTTACACAATAAAATATTCTCTGGCTTTAAGTCGCAGTGAATAATATTCAGCTCAGGAGTGGCCAAAAATAACAAGGCCGTGCACAGCTGCTGAGCAAATTTTCGAGTCAAATTTAACGACACACCTCTAAAGTTTGTGTTACGTAACAAGTCGTACAAATTGTACGATAATAGTTCAAACACCAAGCAGAGATGATTCCGAAACATGAAATGCCTCTTTAACCTCACTGAAACAGAAGAGAGAAACTGGAATTAGTCAACATTCAAGAACAGCTTCTAAATATTATGGAAATGGAGAGAGAGAAAAAATAAGGTTATGCAATGGATGATGTTTACATGTGTTTACACATTGGTTCAGATTAAATTTTACGAATACAAAACATAGGACTTCAAAACATACTTTCAAATTTTCGACTATTAAAAAATACCCATACTGAATAAAAATAAAACATAATTAAAGATTTCAAACATTCATTTTTCCTGTAAATAAACAATAGGATGTATATTCACAGTGAATATACAATAGGATGTATTGAACATTTTGTTTTAAATGAAACATAAAAACAAAAAATATCTCCCACCCCATTTAAAAAATAAAATAAGGATGACAATCTGATAATCACTAAATTGTTTCCTTATGTAAATGAGCCATTGCTGTGTTGATTTGCTGACCTCACTGACCTTGACCTTCAGGCCCTGTGTGGCCAGCCCCAAGATGGCCGTGTACATTTGATTATAACGACAGATTCTAATTCCATCAACTGCACACACACAGACACCGAGAGATATGTTCAAAAGTAAATTTTCTCCTATTTGTATTTCAGTTTTCCCTGGGAAAGAATGCCAGAATAAACACACACTGGATGCAAAAAAGCTGCGTGGAATTTCTCACGCACACAAAGACGTTGTCATGAAATTGCCAGGAGACTCTGATGGTTGCATTTGGACAGCCACTTCCCTGTGACCTGCTGTTTGATATTAGACAGCGTCAACAGGTTGCGTCACCACCGGCAAAGCCAGCAGACAAAACACCAACTGAAGACGGTTCGTGGACGATGTGCTGAGTTCAGTCCCATATTTAGATATGCCACACGGCGGTGGGAGGGTCATGCAGCCATAGAAACTAACAGTTTTAGTCCACTAGTCCTCATAAGGTTGCTGGACCTGGGGTTTATCATAAGGTTGCTGGACCTGGCGTTTATTATAAGGTTGCTGGACCTGGCGTTTATTGTAAGGTTGCTGGACATTGTGTTTATTACAAGGTTGCTGGACCTGGCGTTTATTGTATGGTTGCTGGACCTGGTGTTTATTATAAGGTTGCTGGACATGGCGTTTATTATAAGGTTGCTGGACCTGGCGTTTATTGTAAGGTTGCTGGATATGGCGTTTATTACAAGGTTGCTGGACCTGGCGTTTATTACAAGGTTGCTGGACCTGGCGTTTATTACAAGGTTGCTGGACCTGGCGTTTATTAAAAGGTTGCTGAACCTGGCGTTTATTATAAGGTTTTTGGACCTGGCGTTTATTGTAAGGTTGCTGGACCTGGCGTTTATTGTAAGGTTGCTGGACCTGGCGTTTATTACAAGGTTGCTGGACCTGGCGTTTATTAAAAGGTTGCTGGACCTGGCGTTTATTGTAAGGTTGCTGGACCTGGCGTTTATTACAAGGTTGCTGGACCTGGCGTTTATTGTAAGGTTGCTGGACCTGGCGTTTATTACAAGGTTGCTGGACCTGGCGTTTATTATAAGGTTGCTGGACCTGGCGTTTATTATAAGGTTTTTGGACCTGGCGTTTATTGTAAGGTTGCTGGACCGGGCGTTTATTGTAAGGTTGCTGGACCTGGCGTTTATTATAAGGTTGCTGGACCTGGCGTTTATTGTAAGGTTGCTTGACCGGGCGTTTATTGTAAGGTTGCTGGACCTGGCGTTTATTGTAAGGTTTTTGGACCTGGCGTTTATTATAAGGTTGCTCGACCTGGCGTTTATTGTAAGGTTTTTGGACCAGGCGTTTATTGTAAGGTTGCTGGACCGGGCGTTTATTGTAAGGTTGCTGGACCTGGCGTTTATTATAAGGTTGCTGGACCTGGCGTTTATTGTAAGGTTTTTGGACCTGGCGTTTATTATAAGGTTGCTGGACCTGGCGTTTATTGTAAGGTTTTTGGACCTGGCGTTTATTGTAAGGTTTTTGGACCTGGCGTTTATTGTAAGGTTGCTGGACCGGGCGTTTATTGTAAGGTTGCTGGACCGGGCGTTTATTGTAAGGTTGCTGGACCTGGCGTTTATTGTAAGGTTGCTGGACCTGGCGTTTATTGTAAGGTTTTTGGACCAGGCGTTTATTGTAAGGTTGCTGGACCGGGCGTTTATTGTAAGGTTGCTGGACCTGGCGTTTATTGTAAGGTTTTTGGACCTGGCGTTTATTATAAGGTTGCTGGACCTGGCGTTTATTGTAAGGTTGCTGGACCTGGCGTTTATTGTGAGGTTTTTGGACCTGGCGTTTATTATAAGGTTGCTGGACCTGGCGTTTATTTTAAGGTTTTTGGACCTGGTGTTTATTATAAGGTTGCTGGACCTGGTGCTTATTCAAGGCAAGCATATATTCTAGGATTTACATACCTCTTTCACTGTGCCCCATCAATACCAATGATTCACTTGTGAGTTACGCTTGTTTGTTGTTTAACACTGCACTTAGTAATGTTCCAGCCATATGATGGTGGTATGTAAGTAATCATTTGTTTGTTTATTGTTAAACACCATGCTCAGCAATATTCCAGCTATATGACTGCGGTTTGTAAATATCAAGTCAGGATCAGACAATCCAGTGACTTACATCATGAACCACGCAATTGGGATATGATGACATGCATCAACCAAGTCAGCGAGCCTGACCCCCCGATCCCTTACAAGCATAGTCGCCTGTTACGGCAAGCATGGGTTGCTGAAGACCTATTCTAGATAAGATCTTCATGGGCATCAACAACTTGTATAAATTACTTGCTTTCTTTTGGAATATACAAACTGCAAGTGGCATTTGATTGTCCGTTTATGGGTGTATACCGGTTTTAAAGTTTCTACATCCATAAACGCAAAAGTACTAAAGTCAATTCTTAATAAAATTCAGAATATATCTCTCTTGGTTATTGGAAACTGCTATAACTTTCTCTAATGATTTAGTCAAAACCATGCTTGCAATAATGACAAGGGGAGGTTCCAAAATCTGACTTTATTCCAGACGAATATTCCAGGTCTCTCCAACTAATTGCCTGACATTACGTGAGCCGTCATCATTATTTATCATCTCATAAGTAATATTGTTTGCCTGACCACTGATCTGCCTCTAATGATGACTGGCAGAGACGAATGTTGAGATGTAAGGTTAATGGGATATTAACATGAGTCGATAAGGTCAGGGCAGGGCAGGGCAGTGATCTAGGCCACCAGGTGCTTGGTATGATCAACCCTACAATAACTCGTACATTTTAAGAAAGCACCAAAAATGGCTGACCATGCAATATTTCAGTGGGAGTGTTTCATCAGAAAAGAGCAAAACAGATCTGATATAATTCTGTTCAAAATCAAACCAATGTTCCGCATTTAATAGTAAGCTTGTATGCTTACAAGAGGAAGAGAGAGGAAAGAGAGAGAAGGGAGAAAGAGGAGGGAGGAGGATTAATGCCGCACTTAGCAATATTCCAGCTTTATGACGGCGGCCTGTAAATAATCGAGTCTGGACCAGACAATCCAGTGATTAATGTCATGAGCATCGATCCACGCAATTGGGATCGATGACATGCATCAACCAAGTCAGCGAGCCTGACCACCGATCCCTTTAGTCGCCTTTTACGACAAACATAGTCGCCCTTTACGGCAAGCATGGGTTGCTGAAGACCTTTTCTACCCCGGATCTTCACGTGTTTGTTCCAGAAGAGCCACTGTGATCCTCGGAATACTGACCTATATAGTATTTGTTTTCAGCATCATGCTTGTTCATGAGCTCCAGGAGCTTCACTTCAATCTGGGCTTGGTTCAGGAACGGTTTCTTGTTCTTGATAATTTTTATGGCCACTGCCTCCTGATCCCCATGGTCGTACGCCTTTACCACCTGAAACAAGGGAGGTCACTCTTAGCCATGCTTCTGAAAAAGGGAGGTAAGTCTTAACTCAAAAACAAGGGAGGTCACTCTTAGCCATGCTTCTGAAAAAGGGAGGTAATTCTTAACTCAAAAACAAGGGAGGTTACTCTTAGTCATGTTACTCGGCAATAGAAACTAACATTTTTAGTGTAGTAGTCCTTTTAATGATAACATATAGCAAAACCTTAAAAAATGGTACATTTCTACTTGTCCTTATGATACGTTAACTATTTGGGCAGTTTGGCCAGGACTATAGGACTTGTGCCTATTTCTAACCCTGTTACTAGCAAGCTCCACACAGCGATAGCACATTTTCTGAGCTCCCCACTGTGATAGGCAGCCAGCAAACATCAATGGAGTTGAACTTGAGCTGCCTGACCAGCGTTGGAAAACTAACAGTTTTCGTCCACTAGTCCTTATAATGATAACATATAGCAAAACCCTTAAAAAGGGCAAATTTCTACTGGTCCTTATGATACCTTAACAATTGGGCAGTTTGGTAAGGACTACAGGACTAGCGCCCATTTCTAATGCTGCGATATAAATATTGATCACAGGCTACTAAATACTAAATACATTAAATACAAAAATATCGATTCTTACCTTCCAACTATTGCTTTAATAACTGTTATACCAAACACTAATTACTAGTTAAAAATTAATAGTGAATACGTATGTATTTTTATCGATTGCACCACACTTGACACTGGCAACTGTAAATCCTCAGTGTGCCAGGTATTTGGCCAGCCTGTCTATGAAAAAGATGGCTTACGCACCACCAATGAGAGCACATAGAAGTATCGTGATACGTATCGGCACGTACGGTATCGGTATCATGTCAGAGTCAGCTGTTACGTCCAGCACCCTACTCCAGTAGGATTGAGAGACAGAAATTGCATCATACACACCTCAGACTTAAGACACAAGTCCGATGCCTCAATCTACAGTGATGAGGTGAGGTGAGGTGAAATGGGGTTTAACGTCACGTCCAAGATTATTGCACTTACATAGCGACGTGTATGCACGTGTATGTGTGTGTGTGTGGCTGCTTGTACTTGTCCGGACTGATGCCGATTTATAGTGCTAGCACACTGAGATACCATGCCGCAGTTTAACATGAATACCCCACTCAGACAGTATGCTGACCCTGAGCCGACCAGTCCTGGTTTTTGCCCCTTAATGCCAAGCGCCAGACAGGGTAACAACAAGTACCATCTTTAAATGTCTTTTGGTATGACGCGGCTGGGGATGGAACCCCGGACCTTCTTCTCTATTTTCCTTTTAAGCTGAAACTTCTTTGCAATGGAGAGTGGGCAATAATTTGAGGGTGTCACAGATCTGGAGAAGATTCTCACCCCTAAATCTAGTAAAATGCATACCTGTCTTGTTAATTTGGCCAATAATAAAAAAACAAATAACACACAAAAATCTACTGAAACAATACTATAAAATAAAAAACAGTGGAAAAACCAAAAAACACTCAATTGAGAATGGTTTCCCCCCATACTTTTCTTATCCGTTAACCGATCAATAAAAAAGGACACGCCTATAGTAATGAAATGGTGTAGTGTGCTGTACTGTAAGATCTGATAATTACATTAATTACGGGACCCATATATTTATTCTCTGCGTCCATCATATACATTTGTGAAAATCCCTGCAACTTCAGCTCATAAATACCAGAAATAATTTGTCTATCTTACTGCGACATGCACACCCAGATAACCCTCCTCTCTACACTATCAAGATGATGGCTCCAGCACCGGGCTGACACCACAGTCTGTTGTTAGGGGATAAGTTATCAGTCCTCCAGTCTACACCAATGGCCACTGTTGGAAATAATTTTAAAACCCCAAAAGACAGTCGTTCAGGTGACCCATAGATGTTGCCTGGCCATCTTCAAGTTACCTGCCCGCATTCAGACATAATAAATATTGAAAAATCACAAAAAAAAACAAAAACAAAAAAAGACAACAAATCAACTCTGGATTCATTCGAAATAATGAAAACAATTACTTGAACAATTCAGGAACATTTGGACATTTTGAGGCCAGCAGGTAACTCAGTGTCTTATTTTTTCACAAGCCAGTGTTTCACCAAATTTGGGAGTTGCTGAAACAGGGTGATTATAACTGCCAACAGCATACACTGCATCGCCCACAATCATCCTAGCACCATGGTACACAACTCTTATCACAGCCAGATCAGCATTGCTGCATCATCAACCGACTCCAGCCCACTGATAGCTAAAGTGTTCAAGATTAGATTTCCGAGTTGATATTAATGTTTTTGTTTAACATATGAAATTGCACACATATTTATAATATTTTACAAGCAAATTCCAAAAGATGCTGATAACCTAGATCACAGACAATTTTAACAAAGCATCTCTGGTCTGTTGAAGTCAACAACATTCCTGTGATAATTGCTATGGCTGTTTTCTCTCTTAAGTACAATACACCTTCTACCTTTATTTCAAAAGTTTTTAAGACGAAAAACCCACAAACCATAAACATTTTTAAGAATACAAAACCAATCCACTCACTCTTCATTTCAAACATTACAATAGTGAGTGAGCTTGGTTTTATGCCGCTAGTATAAATATTCCAGCAATATCACGCCGGGGGACACCAGAAATGGGCTTGACACATTGTACCCCTGTCGGGAATCAAACCCAGGTCTTCGGCATGACGAGCGAACGCTTTAATCACTTGGCTACCTGACCGCCCCAAAAGACTAAAATGAAAATAATCATTTACCTCGGGTTCCATTATAGTGCACGTGAGGGGGCCTCATGAGGACACTAATCTGGATTGAGGGCAGCCCTGGACACATCCAGGGGTAGAAACTAACAGTTTTTGTCCACTAGTCCTTATAATAATAACATATAATAGCAAAACCCTTAAAATGGGCCAATTTCTACTAGTCCTGAGGATACCTCTACTATTGGGCAGTTTGGCAAGGACTACAGGAATAGTGCCAATTTCTAATGCTGTCATCTACACTATTCCTATTTTTTCAAAAGTGTTTTGGGGCATATTTCTTTCGTCTTTCCACGATACCACAAAAATGATACTCAATCTTATAATATGTCAAGTGTATATTCATACAGAATGAACTATCTGACTATTCCTATCACAAGTTGAGTAGTATGTTATGGTGAAAAACCTAGTAGCCCCGCTGAGTGTAGTGTTAAACAGCAAACAAACAAATACTTCACCGCTTTTTCTTCCAGCGAATAAAACTGAATATGAAGGCATTTAGAATGCTCTTTGGCCTTCTTTTCAATTTGGTTAACAGATCCTGACAAAAAATACAGAGAAAAAAAAAAAAATTAACCAACTTAAAGAGAAGAAGAAAAGTCCATGTTCACAAATAGCAGTTTACATGTGTCCCCCTGGGCAACCTCCCACGACCTAGAAACTGTTGCCACCTGGCTGATGCTATTTTAGTTCCCCTGGATGCATTCATCACCATTGCCTACAAACACCTACAAGCCCAAGTTGGTCTCCATGAAAACAGGAACAACTGAAGCAGGTTGTCATGACACTACTTTGCTTAAATGTGGAGAAGGCCGACTTAATAGTCATCAGCCAGCGGATACGCTTGTCATATCTCACAGGACGCCATGATATACGGCATTAATGCCACGCAATTTGAAAAAAGACAACGTGATGTAAGAAACCCCTCTGAAGCTCTTTCCCAATATCCAGTTGGTAATTACTTACATAACTAGTGGTTAGGGATACAGCTAGTTGTCTCCCTTGCCTTGTACCTCATTACCAGAAGGCAGGCTATCGGGGAGATTTAGTTGCCTTATTGCTTGCCGCTTATACTGGTCATGAAATTCTACTAGCCTGACTGGATTGACGGGCTGGTGACATGTTCGACACCAGTGTCCTGTAACTTGGTCTCGTCGCCATATGGCTGGAATTATGCCGCTGCAACGTTCAATTTGAACTCACTCACTGTAACCAACAGGTATCTCCTTCCTCACCAGTGTTTCCTCTATCCATGTCCCAGCCCTCCTCTCCTCATCCCACTGCCATCACATAAACCTGTTACCCAGCTCCAGAGACCCCCAGTCCAATTCCTCCAACCAGCCCCACCCTCCTTCCCAAGTTGACTCCGTCCCTTCTCTCCATGAACTACTACATACTGCCTGTTATAACATGATGCCTGTCACCGCACGCTTGGGCCTCCTACCCTACCCCACCAAAGCCTAAGCCTCAGCCTCAATCAGCAACCCAGCACACACCCATCTATAACCACACCAGCCAGCCCCGCTCTCCCCATCAACAAGTTGACTCGTCTCTACCCTCCTCCCATGACCCAGTAGCCTATTCCCGCCATCACACCCATCCCCCATCTATAACCACACCAGCCCCGCCCTCCCCATCCACAAGTTGACTGGTCTCTACCCTCCTCCCATGACCCAGTAGCCTATTCCCGCCATCACACCCATCCCCCATCTATAACCACACCAGCCCCGCCCTCCCCATCCACAAGTTGACTCGTCTCTACCCTCCTCCCATGACCCAGTAGCCTATGCCCGCCATCACACCCATCCCCCATCTATAACCACACCAGCCCCGCCCTCCCCATCCACAAGTTGACTCGTCTCTACCCTCCTCGCATGACCCAGTAGCCTATGCCCTGCCATCCCCCATCTATAACCACACCAGCCCCGCCCTCCCCATCTACAAGTTGACTCTTCTCTACCCTCCTCCCATGACCCAGTAGCCTATGCCCTGCCATCCCACCCATCCCCCATCTATAACCACACCAGCCCCGCCCTCCCCATCCACAAGTTGACTCGTCTCTACCCTCCTCCCATGACCCAGTAGCCTATTCCCGCCATCACACCCATCCCCCATCTATAACCACACCAGCCCCGCCCTCCCCATCCACAAGTTGACTGGTCTCTACCCTCCTCCCATGACCCAGTAGCCTATTCCCGCCATCACACCCATCCCCCATCTATAACCACACCAGCCCCGCCCTCCCCATCCACAAGTTGACTCGTCTCTACCCTCCTCGCATGACCCAGTAGCCTATGCCCTGCCATCCCCCATCTATAACCACACCAGCCCCGCCCTCCCCATCTACAAGTTGACTCTTCTCTACCCTCCTCCCATGACCCAGTAGCCTATGCCCTGCCATCCCACCCATCCCCCATCTATAACCACACCAGCCCCGCCCTCCCCATCCACAAGTTGACTCGTCTCTACCCTCCTCCCATGACCCAGTAGCCTATGCCCCGCCCTCCCACCCATCCCCCATCTATAACCACACTAGCCCTGCCCTCCCCATCCACAAGTTGACTCGTCTCCACCCTCCTCCCATGACCCAGTAGCCTATGCCCCGCCCTCCCCATCCACAAGTTGACTCGTCTCTACCCTCCTCCCATGACCCAGTAGCCTATTCCCGCCCTCCCACCCATCCCCCATCTATAACCACACCAGCCCTGCCCTCCCCATCCACAAGTTGACTCGTCTCCACCCTCCTCCCATGACCCAGTAGCCTATGCCCCGCCCTCCCACCCATCCCCCATCTATAACCACACCAGCCCTGCCCTCCCCATCCACAAGTTGACTCGTCTCCACCCTCCTCCCATGACCCAGTAGCCTACTCCTCTGCTATTGATCCTGGCTCAGGATGACCCACATCTGCTGCTGCTGCTGCTGCCTCACTCACAAGCACCTGCCTCATCGGCTCTTCGCCAGCGCCCTCCCACTCACTCCTGACTGCTGTCAGATCCCTGCCCTCCCGTCCTACTCAAACGAACAGTACACAGAGAGTACGGTGATGACTATGCTCCATGTATCCACTACTGGCATTACAACCAATACCCTATTCGACAAAATAAGCACCCAATAATACAGTATTCTTAATTTAAGTGGGTCCTGGGGATTGCTTCTATAGAACTTGAATCTCAGAGACTCCTAAATCTTTCATTTCTAACATCAGGTCTATGACTGCGACACTAGAATCATGTGCTAATTTCAACAAGAGGCTAAAATCATGTAAAATCTATTCACAGAGTGGAATATTGGTGTGAACATCACTGTTGGTTCGGGTTGGCTTTCTTCAGTGTTACAAACTAAGCGGGTTGTGGAGTCTTTGTAGTTTGGTGTTGTATTGAATCAAGGGACTCCGAAACGTTCAGTCCTCAACATTAGAGTTATGACAAGGACGCTCATGCTGAAATCTGTACACTGCCATTAGTCTAACAGTGGGCAACAGTCATAGACCAGTCCGTTTTTATGTCACTCGATCCAGTCCAGTGACTGTCTGAATCACAGAATAGTTAGTCATGGCGTGAATCAGAAACCACTGTCCTGCAATTCACAGCTTGTCATGTACCAGCCATTTTCACCAGTTTATCTTCACCTGCTCGGAGGCCCAGAGATAATTCTAGGGTGGGGCCACATTTTCAAATACAATGGGGCATTTTAACATTTTCCTGTATGGGCAAGTGTGGGTATGTCTCTGGAATATTTGAAATTTTCACATAAAGAGCCCATGTCAGAAAATTCCAAGAGTAAACTCTGGACGTCTGCAGCTTGTGGTAAACATACCCAAAATAGGAATTTAAAAAATCACAATTCATGATATTCAGAAGGTGGATATATTAATTGGGTTGTTACATTTTTCTTTGGGTAACCAATATTTTTTCACTCATCTGTTCATCATTCTATTGGGTTTTTCCCAAAATTACTGAACATTTTAATATTTTAAAAATTGAAATAATGTTTAGATGTACAGTGTATATAACTGTTCTAAATATATGTATGGGCTGGACTTGGAAAGTAAATTAGCTTGTAATTGTGTTTCAGAAATTAGCTCCTTTGTACTCATGTATTTTACGCAAACACGCTGCCCGTCTGTAGCTCTGTTGTTATTGTTAATCGCCTAGACGACAGATGATCCCCTTTCTATATTAGTCACACAAGATTTACAAGACAATGGCTGTCGGGCTTTCATAAAAGACACCAGTTGCAGCGTCAGTGAGTGAGTTGGGTTTAACACCGCTTTTAACAGTATGACAGTTATATTGCGGCGTGTCAGCTTAATGTGGGAGGAAAGCCCGAAGTGATGCACGTTTACCACTTCGGTGAAACCCAAGAGCATGGGTATGGTGCTGACAAAGCTAGAAACATAATCGGGGCAAACCGGGATTCGAACCCACCATCATAGGTTTCTGGCTTAGACGACTGGGCCACCCGTGCCCCCTGCAGTGTTAGAAATTGGCACTAGTCCTGTAGTCCTTGCCAAACTGCCCAATAGTTAAGGTATCATAAGGATTAGTAGAAATTTGCCATTTTTAAGTGTTTTGCTATATGTTATCATTATAAGGACTAGTTGACTACAAATGTTAGTTTCTACCGCAGCAGTTGGGTAATGGAGTCTTGTAAAATATTTTATCACCACCTAACGCTGAACGCACACAGATTGACTAGTTATGAACGCTGAACAATGACTCGAGATCCATCCTCCATGTGTCTTTGCAACGTGCAGTGTGCAGCGACACTGGTAATGATTTCTTCCTTTCAACATAACTGGCTGTTATTACACAAGAGGAACTTGTTGATTGGCTGGTGGTCACATGACTCACAACACAATGGCGCTACTTCATTCACACCGACCTGTGAATCAGGCTGTGGCCACACTACCCAGCATGCCTCACTGAATAATTCACGCAGTATGCTCTTGTAGGTTGCAGTGCCAGTGGTTGTTGCTTAGGAGAGGGAATTGGGTTTGTCGTCGTGTTCAAGATTATTGACTACATGGTGAGTGTGTGTGGTGTGTGTGCGGTGTGTGTGCGGTGTGTGTGAGAGTCTGCAGGCTTATAACTTAACTCTAGCCTGCTAGCCAAGGGCTAGTACATATTCCTGCGGTCTAGAACAAATTTCCCGTTTGTTTTAACATTACAAGGGCATTAATCTTCACTGGGGTTTGTAAAGCTTTTCAGGTTAGTTTTACCACTGGCATGTGTTAGTGTGTGTTTGTGTGTGAGTGTTAATGTGTGTGTGTGAGTGTTAATGTGTGAGTGTTAGTGTGTTAGTGTGTGTGTGTGTGCTAAGTGTTAATGTGAAGAAATCTCCCAAACCCAGTAATACGAATTCAAACACTGGCCCTATGGATCCTGGCATGTCAAAGGGAAGCAACTCCGCAGCTACTTTGTACCATGGTCTTTCATCTCCTATCACCCAACAATCAACTTTCATTTCTTTGTACTTATTGTTCTGGTCAACAAATTGAGTCTTTTCTACAATTAAAAGAATGAACAAACATATTTCACCCATCACAACAACTCACCTGACCAAATGAGCCCTTTCCTATTAAAGAATCTATTTCGTATCTGTCAAGCCACTTTTCGCCAGGGTTCACAATATAGTCGTGGTTTTGGTCATCGTATCCGTCGTTGTACACATGCGCATTGACCTTGCCCTTCTTGTTCCCACTCTCGTCGCCAGTGCCGGACATACCCTGTGCACGCCGCTTCTTTTTGGCATAGTAGACCTGTGAAGGGAGACAACTCAGTTAGCACACACAAAAACACTTTATTCTAAACCAGTTCTCGGGCAATTTCTTAGTCTGTCATACAGACCCTGATTCAAATGTACAATGTTTGGCAAGTCTAGATTACTGCAGTATCTGAAAATGAAGAGAGTCTCTTGGTTCCTTTTTATCATATTTGTATTAAGATAATTTAACAACTGTTTTTTTCTCTGTAAGATATGTACATTTCAGAGACTAGATGTTAGTCCAGCAATTTTTTTCATTAAACAGTGGTGTGGCAGGTGTTTTCTTGTGTGCGCGTTTTTAAAGTTTGAAAATGTGTGCTACAAGTGATTAGTAGGGCTGTGTATTGGCAAAATATTTGAATTCCAATATGTGATAAGGTATCTTTATTGCGCTCGCCAGTGTTCAACAGTCATTTGACACTTTTCTACAAAAATTGGGGTGATTTGGGTTTAACGTTGCTTTCAACAGTATTCCAGTGACATCACAGTGTGTCTGCTTACTGCTGGAGGAAAGCCCGAAGTGATGCAGGTCTCAGATGTTTACAAATTTGTTGAAACTCATGAGCACTGGAATGGTGCTGACAACCTTGAAACATTAACGAGCAAACCAGGATTCGAGCCCAAAGTCATAGGTTCCTGGCAGGCCTAAGGGACACCACTCTGCTCACCAAGAGCAATATTTCAGCAATATCCACACAGGGGACACCTGGAAAGGTCTTCATACATTTAACCTTTTTTTTTACATTTTTACAGCCCCTTCCAGTGATTAATATTATGAGCATCGATCCACGCAATTGGGATCGATGACATGTATCAAACAAGTCAGCAAGCCTGACCACCCAATCCCGTTAGTTGCCTTTTACGACAAGCATAGTCGCCTTTTACGGCAAGCATGGGTTGCTGAAGACCTATTTTACCCCAGATCTTCACGGGTCTGCAGTGATTGACATCATGAGCATTGATCAACGCAATTTGGATACGATGACACATCAACTAGGTCCTTGAGCCTGACCACCCGATCCCTTTAGTTGCCTCTTACGACAAGCAGGGGTAGTTGAAGACCAATTCTAACCCTGATCTTCACCAGGTACAATTATGTCAGGGTTAGAAATTGGCACTTGTCCTATATTCCTTGCCAAACTGCCCAATAGTTAAGGTATCATAAGGACTAGTAGATATTTGCCATTTTTAAGGGTTTTGCTATATGTTATCCTTGTAAGGACTAGTGGACCAAAACGTTAGTTTCTACCACTGTATGTGAGCTCAGGTGATCAACACGGGTTTGCCTGCATATTATAGTTGGGAGAACACAGCCAACCCGAATAGCCTCCCTTCCATTGTTTCAGTGACCGGGACGAAACAGCCCGACAAGAACCATAAACACTTGCCACGATCAACAACCAATCCCATCAGGACCCAGCTGATCAAACCCAAAACTAATTATGCTAATTGACGACATAATCATTATAATTAACCAAGGTCAAGGTCACAGCCAGCCAATCAGGACACAGCTGATTTCGGTTCTGCGGAATGAATGAGCCAACTCTAGCCACATAGCAACAGTGGAGAATTGCATGCATAAGCCTCCTTGCAGGCCTAGGAAGCTGCATCACTTCCTGAATGCGTTCTACCATTGAGGCAGATGGCCATTGAGACTGTCCGTCCCACATGTGAAAGCCCCATTCACAAGTAGTTGCCATTCACACATGGGGGACAGACAGCGTGCATTGCCAGAACGTCCGATGCCGCCAAAAATCAATATGCCAAACTACTGCACGAGTTTTATAATGAGTACCCTGTTATAGCGCCATGTTTTGGGTTACATAACTTAGTAATTACATGAAGACAATACGTTATAATGAGGAGTGTGGGGGTCATCGGAGTCTGAGTATTGGGTGAGACGGTGCTAGGTGCTCAGAGGGTTGTGAGGGGGTGGCACTTGAGGATGTTGTTTAACGATGCACTGAGTAATACTCCAGCTATACCATCGCTGCTTGTACATAATAATGTCTGGCCCCGACAAACCAGTCGTTGATATTATGGTTTGGTTTTGGTTTGGTTTGTTGTTTAACGCCGCACTCAGCAATATTCCAGCCATATGACGGCGGTCTGTAAATAATCGAGTCTGGACCAGACAATCCAGTGATTGATATCATGACCATCGATCCACGCAATTGGGATCGATGACATGCATCAAGTCAGCGAGCCTGACCACCTGATCCCATTAGTCGCCTGGTATGACAAGCAGAGTCACCTTTTACAGCAAGCATGGGTTGCTGAAGACCTATTCTACCCTGGAATCTTTACGGGTCCGTTTATATTATGAGTGAGCGAATATGGTTCTATATCACAACAGGGGACACCAGAAATGGGCTTCACACATTGTACCCATGTGGGGAATCGAACCCAGATCTTTAACCACACATTAACCACAAGGCTACACCACCGCCCCGTTGATATTATCAGCAGCATTCTTTACTATTGGGATACGATGGCACCCAATCAACCAAGCCTGATCCAGTTAGTTGCCTTGTACAGTATTTTAGTCAAAACATCAGTATAAAATCAGAATAAAAGGAGAGGAAGCCCACAGTGACAAAATGATTTGAAAACTCCATGATCCCTGGAATGTTATGTGCAGGTCAAAGATGAACTATCTGGGTTGGTTTGCTTGGTTTGTTGTTAAACGCCGCACTCAGCACTATTCCAGCTATATGACAGCGGTGTGTAAATAATATAGTCTGGACTAGACAATCCAGTGATTGACATCATGAGCATCAATGGACACAATTGGGATATGGCAAACATAGGTTGCTGAAGATCTTTCTAAAGCATTGATATTGCACAGTAAAGAGGCAAGAGTATACCGGTACTCAAAACATATATCTGGAAATTCTGTTCCTGAGAGTGCAATTTACAGAAAGTTGGTCAACAAAACAATAAAAAACATCTTAGAAAGGGCCTCAACGATTTGACCTTGCTTGTCCACAATGACACATAAATGTGACCTTGAGTGAAACGCCATACAGGAACGTTGAAAACAGTCTGCCTGTGTCAAATCTGCGTAGTCACTGAAGTTTGGAAAAGCAGGAACACAAATGTATTGTTGCTACCCCAGAATATCCTGTATAGCCTGGCTGGTATGATACGAGTCTGGCAAAATGCCTGGAATTCTGCTGGTGCCACTAGGCCAAGTGAGTGCAGCACTAGCAGCAGTAAGCTGAACACTGATACACCAGAACCAGCCACCAGCAGTCTGGCCTCCATGGCTGAAGTACTTCTCCGGCCCCACAACCTCCATGGCTGAGGTACTTCTCCGGCCCCACAACCTCCATGGCTGAAGTACTTCTCCGGCCCCACAACCTCCATGGTTCAAGTACTTCTCTGGCCCCACAACCTCCATGGCTGAAGTACTTCTCCGTGCCCCACAACCTCCATGGTTAAAGTACTTCTCCGGCCCCACAACCTCCATGGCTGAAGTACTTCTCCGGCCCCACAACCTCCATGGCTAAAGTACTTCTCCTGCTCCACAACCTCCATGGCTAAAGTTCTTCTCCTGCTCCACAACCTCCATGGCTGAAGTACTTCTCCGGCCCCACAACCTCCATGGCTTAAGTACTTCTCCGGCCCCACAACCTCCATGGCATAAGTACTTCTCCAGCCCCACAACCTCCATGGCTAAAGTACTTCTCCGGCCCCACAACCTCCATGGCTGAAGTACTTCTCCGGCCCCACAACCTCCATGGCTGAAGTACTTCTCCGGCCCCACAACCTCCATGGCTAAAGTACTTCTCCGGCCCCACAACCTCCATGGCTAAAGTACTTCTCCATGCCCCACAACCTCCATGGCTGAAGTACTTCTCCGGCCCCACAACCTCCATGGCTGAAGTACTTCTCCGGCCCCACAACCTCCATGGCTAAAGTACTTCTCCTGCTCCACAACCTCCATGGCTGAAGTACTTCTCCGGCCCCACAACCTCCATGGCTAAAGTACTTCTCCGGCCCCACAACCTCCATGGCTAAAGTACTTCTCCATGCCCCACAACCTCCATGGCTGAAGTACTTCTCCGGCCCCACAACCTCCATGGCTGAAGTACTTCTCCGGCCCCACAACCTCCATGGCTAAAGTACTTCTCCTGCTCCACAACCTCGATGGCTAAAGTACTTCTCCGGCCCCACAACCTCCATGGCTAAAGTACTTCTCCTGCTCCACAACCTCCATGGCTAAAGTACTTCTCCAGCCCCACAACCTCCATGGCTAAAGTAGTATTTTCAGAGTTTGATCATCCGTGTTCAGCATAAAAGTGGAAGGATCCCTGTCATACCATCATACTGTCATACCATCATACTGTCAAAAGGTACGAATATTGAGAGATTCAAATACCAGAACACTTGACCTTGCAGGGATTGATCTCGACCTGCACAGAGGCTGCAGTTAATACCAGCACAAATTTCCAAATTGGAACTTCCCAGTTCATGGTGTTATAGTTATAGCCAATGTTATCGCCTTGAACTTCCCAGTTCATGTTGTTTTAGTTATAGCCAATGTTATCGCCTTGTACAGGTGACTTGTATTTTACTAATATTTTGCATTGAAAGCAAAATTAAAATACCTCCAAATTGATGAAAATAGGAACTGTAAATCAGTCTACAAGCCCCAAATTGGCACTGGCATCAAGTACATTGCATGTTATATTTCACGAGCTGATCCTAGTAGAACAAAAAAAGGTTTAATAGACTCCTGCTTGGGACTAGTGGTGAAGGGTGCTGATTGCTTGGCATGGAACCCTAGATAGTCATGCCCAGTGTGCCACCCCTATGGCTCTGGCCGCAGCCTCTCCCCCGTCTACGGTTGAGTTGTGTGAAGGAGGAAGTGGGCCCACAGACTGGCTGGGCACATTCACCACTTTCTGCACGCAGAGATGGGCAGCAGCACCGTGGCTCTTCAGGACAGACACTTCCGGGAGCCTGGCCAGCTCATCAACACGATATTTTGGTCCACATTCTCGGATAAACATCAGACAAGGGGAGGCAACTGGGTATTGACGTCATTGAGGGATTCCCTACCTGGTGAGTCAGCAGTGTACATTGTGATGGGGAAAAGTTGGATAAGGGATGTGTGTGTGTGCCTGGTTGTATAAGGGATGTGTGTGTGTCTGTGTGTGCCTGGTTGTATAAGGGATGTCTGTGTGTGCCTGGTTGTATAAGGGATGTCTGTGTGTGTGCCTGGTTGTATAAGGGATGTATGTGTGTCTGTGTGTGCCTGGTTGTATAAGGGATGTCTGTGTGTGCCTGGTTGTATAAGGGATGTCTGTGTGTCTGTCTGTGTGTGTCTGGTTGTATAAGGGATGTCTGTGTGTGTGTGCCTGGTTGTATAAGGGATGTATGTGTGTGTGTGCCTGGTTGTATAAGGGATGTCTGTGTGTATGTGTGTGCCTGGTTGTATAAGGGATGTCTGTGTGTGCCTGGTTGTATAAGGGATGTCTGTCTGTGTGTGCCTGGTTGTATAAGGGATGTCTGTGTGTGTGCCTGGTTGTATAAGGGATGTCTGTGTGTGTGTGCCTGGTTGTATAAGGGATGTATGTGTGTGTGTGTGCCTGGTTGTATAAGGGATGTCTGTGTGTGTGTGCCTGGTTGTATAAGGGATGTCTGTGTGTGTGTGCCTGGTTGTATAAGGGATGTCTGTGTGTGTGTGCCTGGTTGTATAAGGGATGTTGAGATTGTGATAGGATGGGTTGTGTAAGATGAGGTTGTTGGGATTGCGTTGTGTCAGGGTTGTGAGGTGAGGTGAGGTGAGGTGAGGTGAGGTGAGGTGAGGTGAGGTGAGGTGAAATGGGGTTTAACGTCGCGTCCAAGATTATTACACTTATATAGCGACGTGCATGCACATGTATCTGTGTGTGTGGCTGCTTGTACTAGTCCAGACTGATGCCGATTTATAGTGCTAGCTCACTTAGATACCATGCCGCAGTTTAACATGAATACCCCACTCAGACACAGTATACTGACTCCGAGCCGAGCTCATTGTTTTAGCCCCTTAATGCCGAGCACCAGACAGGGTAACAATAGGTACCATCTCTTGGTATGACACGTCCAGGGATCGAACCCCGAGCCTTTCACTCTCGGGGCGGACGATCTACCACTAGACAACAGGGGCGGTCAGTGTAAGGGTTGTAACTGTGTGTGCCTAGTTGTGTAATGGGATGTTGGGTTTGGGACAGGCTTCACATGAGTGAGTGAGGTCTTACACAGCTTTTGGCAAATATTTCAGTAATAGTGGCCACAAGTTATGGGCAAGAAAGGAACCTAAACCCAGGCCTACGTGAGACAAGCAACGCATTAACCACCAGGCTACGACCACCACCCAAGAATGAACTTGGACTGGACTTCAGGTGGTGGAGGGTTGTCCCAGGCCAACTCCTCCTTCTTGTCTGGTCAAGTGGACGTACACGGTCAAGTGGACGGACACGAAGCACTAAAGCCAAACTTCATACACAGGTATGCTTTGATGCTGGCAAACTGACCTTTGCCACAGCTCGGACCCGATATGCTAGTGGCTCGAGTTTCCCTCACTGGGCGCAATGGAGATGGGAGCTATGTATGCAAGAGGTAGTCGGAATGTAGATGTTGGGGATACTTACAGAATCGTCTACAATAACCTTTACTTTAACCAAGACTGGCCTCCCACACAAAGTGTCATTTAGATTGACCTTTTACACAGCACATTTCGGTGGAGGCCAGCATACAACTAACTATGCCACCACTGCCCCTTTCCCAACTACCCATCCCCCTGGTGAATGTAGCTGGGGTCACAGTCTATAGCATGGCAGCCTGTGAATAATCAGTAGTGAGTATGAGTCAGTTACATATTAACGTCGCATTATTTAATAATCAGCAGTAAGTAAACAACCAGTCTAGGAACCGAACCTGACTTCTTAATCCCTATTTTAAGACGGTTCTTACAAAAAAACAAGGGGTACTGGGGACTTGTTCAGACCTGGAATCTTCACAGGGAGACAAGCAAGAGGTACTGGGGACCTATTCTGACCTGGAATCTCCACAGAGGACACACAAGAAATAGGTTTGTTTGTTTGTTTGTTGTTGTTAAACGCCGCGCTCAGCAATGTTCCAGCTATATGACGGCGGTCTGTAAGTAATCGAGTCTGGACAAGACAATCCAGTGGTTGACATCATGAGCATCGATCCATGCAATTGGGATCGATGACCAAGACAGCGAGCATGACCACCCAATCCCGTTAATCGCCTCTTACGACAAGCATAGTCGCCTTTTACGGCAAGCATGGGTTGCTGAAGACCTATTCTAACCCAGATCTTCACGGGCCAAGCAATAGGTACTGGGGAGGAGGGTTCAGTATGTTTAAAGGTCAATGTTCCGAAAAGCCAATCCAATTTTGATCAACCAAAAGAATGATAAAACATCTCACCTCATTTATTTTCTTGTAAGTTTTGATAAGGTCTACGCTTAGTTTGCGTAGCGGGGCTTCAGTGGGCTCCCGGAACGCGACAGGGATGCGGTTCTGCATGGCTGCAATATCCTCCTGCGCCTGCTGTTGCTGTTGATGATGTTGCTGCAGGGGATCGGCCATCATCAGCAAGTGGTTGCTGCCCGTCACTAGGCGCCCATAGGTCGTGGTCCCCCCTGCACTCACATGCCTGTTCTTGGACAGCTGTCCTGCAAGGGAGAGAATGTCATGAGTACAAGGAACTTAGGATGGGTAGTGCAGCGTTAGAAATTGGCACTAGTCATGTAGTCCTTGCCCAACTACCCAATAGTTAAGGTATCAGAAGGACAAGTAGAAATTTCCCATTTTTGAGGTTGGTTGGTTGGTTTGTTGTTTAACGCCCAACTCAGCAATATTCCAGCTATATGACGGCGGTCCATTTTTGAGGGGTTTGCTATATGCCATCATTTTAAGAACTAGAGGACTAAAAATGTTAGTTTCTACAGCTGATATTGGAGGTTAAATGTGCATTTTGCCATGCACAAGGCAATATTGCAATATGTATCATTCTAAATTCTAAATGGGTATGGTGCTGACAAACCTAGAAACATAATCGGGGTGAACCAGGATTCGAACCCACAATCCTAGGTTTCTGGCGTGTCCAGGGGACGGAACTCTGCACAGAGAATCGCAGTGCCTTAGACGACTGGGCCACCCGTGACCCGTGGCTCTACTAGCCTCAACATGGCTCAACATCATTTTCAGTAGATTACAGTGTTATTATGTGGACTTACTAGCTGAGCTTACAAGACCAAACAGAACGTAACTCGACACAGTGAGTGAGCAAGTATGGTTTAACACCGCTTTTAGCTATACTGCAGCAATATCATGGAGGGGGACAAAAGAAAATGGGCTTCACACGTCGAACCCATGTGGGGAATTGAACCCGGATCTTTGGCATGACGAGCGAACGCTTTAACCAATAGGCTACCCCACCATCCCTTGCCTAGACACAGGCTTCGGACTAGTGGCTTAAGTCGCTGACTTCTGAACCCTATTTTGTATGAACAGTAATAGGAAATACATATTTTTGTATTCCCTTAGCAAAAACAATGAAGTTCTACAACAAAAATAGTCTGAAATCAGTAACAGTCTTAACTTCCCTCCTTCATGTTGCCAATAGCAACATAAACAAAACGAGTTAATTACTGTTGTTATCCTCCACACCCTACTAATGTCTTGACAACTGTTGTAACTGTGGTAAGTCCTTATGTCAACATTGTTTTATGTAAGCATGTCACGATACGACCAGCATGGGTTGTGGAGGACCTATATTCCTACCCTGAATCAACCAAGTAAGTCTGACCACCCGATCCATTCCGTCGCCTCTTACGACCAGCATGGGTTGTGGAGGACAAAAATTCTACCCTGAATCAACCAAGTAAGTCTGACCACCTGATACATTCTGTCACCTCTTACGACCAGCATGGGTTGTGGAGGACAAAAATTCTACCCTGAATCAACCAAGTAAGTCTGACCACCTGATACATTCTGTCACCTCTTACGACCAGCATGGGTTGTGGAGGACAAAAATTCTACCCTGAATCAACCAAGTAAGTCTGACCACCCGATACATTCTGTCACCTCTTACAACCAGCATGGGTTGTGGAGGACCTATATTCCTACCCAGGATCCTCACGAGTTTGTGCAAACATGCCAAACTTGGGGACACGGTGACACATGACCTTGACCATGTCGGGCTGGTCACATCAGTGTCTTGGCACTGACCACTGGGCAAGGCGTAAACACAAGGAGCTGCCTCGTATTGATCTTAATGTTTAACACCTGGCCAGTATTGACCAAAACATGGCTGCCATTTTCAAACCTGACTGACACGGTAATCAGAGACACAAGGCTCGGAGCTCCAGATCAATTTGGGTATTTACTCACATGTTATCAATCATTTGGTATTGAGTGTTTTTTTAGGGTATTCGGAATACTTTTACTTCCTTTGAACAGTCTATTGGGTATCCTATTTTAATCCTTCAATGTAAGAAAAGAAAGAAGCTAGTTATGCTAAGTCTATAAATTTGAAATTTATCCTGCCAGAGAATCCAACATTGATTTCTGGTGAAATCAATTAATGTAAATCCAATATGTATATCCAATATTCTAGTTATATCATACAGTCTCCCAACCATACAGTCTGGGCAAAGAAACCAGTGGTTGATATCATGAGCAAAGATCACAACCACAGGGCACAGTGTCACAGAATGAGCTAGGTCACACATTGTTTCAACCGGTTACAGGGGCTGTCGGGTAGCCTAGTGGTTAAAGCGTTCGCTCGTCACGCCGAAGACACGGGTTCGATTCCCGACATGGGTACAATGTGTGAAGCCCATTTCCGGTGTCCTCGCCTTGATATTGCTGGAATATTGCTAAAAGCGACGTAAAACAATACTCACTCAACTGGTTACAAAAAGCACAGGGTACTAGGGTTAGAACCAAACTCAACAAGCTTGAACAAAAAGACAAAATGTCCTTGTATTGTGAAAACAATGGGCAAATGTTGAAACTTATACTAGCTCGCAGGAATCTGTTCTGGTCCCCGGCTAGCTGGTTATTGTTAAGTTCTACTCTAGGGTCCTTGGGACCTATAGTGCCCCTTCACGAAGGTGTCAAACACAAATAAAAGCAATCAGGAATATTTTGGACAATCATAAATTAGTAACTTTAAAAAAAACCCATTAGTTACTATGAATACATCTCTACAGAAAATGTCTATATGAACAGTGAATAAAATAAACAGTAGTCCTACATATGTCTGACCCTATCACAACTAGATATCACTGGAATAGAAATTATGTGAAAATGGTCAAAAGACAAATCCTTCATTTAAAATCGGAAACTACCAACCAGGAACACATAGCATAAGCAGAGAAGACTAACCGCATACCAGAAAGTCAGTTTTCTTTTTCTAAATACGACACATTAACCCAAAACAATCAATGAAAACACAGCAATATTCAAGCTAATATTCTTTACACCTCAAACCTACAGAAAATTAATTCCAGAAAATTGAAGAAATACAAAATATGAGTAACTAAAATTCTTTCCACATTTCAAAGAATTCGAAAAATGACAAACAGTTATAACATCAACAGTAAAGGTCTTGGTGACAAATAACATGAGTTAAAATAAAGGCTCTTTCATGACAGAGCTCCAGATAAGCTGCGTATCTGCGTATCTGCGTGAAATACGCATCAGAAATTCAGAAATACGCAGTAAAATATAACCCAAGCGTATCAAATACGCAACGAACATTACAGATACGCTACAAAAATAAAACATGTGCGTATCATCAAAATATTGTGAAGTAACCCTGCGTATTCAATAAGCAAATCAGCAACTTATTTTGAAATTATAAACGGCATTCCGTCAACCTTGCCAAACTCCACGATGACAGTTACATCATGATCATTTGCCATCACACTTTCTTGTGGAAGAATCGTGGTATTTTTTAGTCCTATAAAGCTCTCGAACCCACACGACACCAGTTTGCAGGGACTAGATGAATACTGTTTTTAAATATTGAACTTAAATACCCACATGTGTAAAAACTAGTGGGTAACAGAAATTTGAATACGCAGATAGAATTACTGATACCCAATGATTTTAAAATGCATGGGTAAAATACCCACAACACCAAAAGCTTATCTGGAGCTCTGGACGAGACCACATTCCCTACCCTGGTGGCAGTATAGACCCTCACAGGCATACATTCCAAAACAATGGTTGAATCAGAGATGCATAGCGATGGTTGATTGATGGAGCCATCATGGCATACAGTAAAATCATCGATCCAGACTACTGGGGCAGGTCACACAACACAAACATTGCTGCCGTCATGGACAGTCCCCGCATCCTCGTTGTCGCCACTACCCGCATCCTCATCAACAATAACAGTGCACACGTCTTCTTCAAAATTGGCCAGCAGACGCGTACAGCAGACGGTCATCCTGGCCAATTGGACAGGGAAGGCTCATCTTGGAGACAATTTGGACATATTGATCCGCAGACGGACACCGAGCAGACGTCATTTCTTGTCCTGTGGTCAGCGGGGTCGAGGGAAGCCTCGGTCATAACATGTCGGTCCGGTCACGGAAAAATCAATATGTCTGTCTTCGACTGTTCTTATTGCGTTTCGCGTATATCAGTAGACAGGCCGCCCAGTGAGCCAGTCCTTGCATCTTCTGGGGTCAATGTCCTGTAAATGATGACACAGACGCACGCGGGACGGTGCAGGAGATGGTGACGGCCAGAGGTGGGGCTAGGTGTGGCGGGCAGCGACAACCTCAGCGTGCCACCAGATGGTTTTGGGCATGTGACCTGCAGTAGGAGGACAGACTCCGTAATGTACCCACATAATTAGGTGCTTCATCTCGTCTGCCCCGTCACACCACACACACACCCACCACAGCGCCACACCTCGTCGCCATGACAACCTTCCACCTGCAGTGCACTCGCTCGCTCGCTCGCTGTGTGTGTCCCCTCCTGAACCCTGATTCGCCTCTAACGCAGCTGGCAGGGAATGCAAGAGTCAAAACACAGAAACCAGCCTGTGATGCAATAATTAGGCTTCTCCTGCTGTGGACCGCCAGAGGTATCGCTGGCATATTCAGACTCAATGCCACTGACTGCATCGCTTCAGATTGATTTCAGTACCTATGGGTCAAGTTTCCCAATATCAGTGAAAACCATGGGCCAGAAATCGGAAACAGAGAGACTCCCATGTCAAACTGGGTCATTTGGTCTTTTCCGATCAGTGGTGGGGTCAATGATCTAGCTCCCTGGATATCTGATGCACTGCCGCTTCAGATATAGACTGGGTCTGGCTGGTATTTCTGTTGATCAGAACTATGAACTATGGGGTCTCAAGTCATTGTTCAAATGCTTGACAAACAAGTCAGTGTTAGAAATTGGCACTAGTTCTGTAGTCCTTGCCAAACTGTCCAAAAGGAGAAAAATAAGGACAGGTAGAAATGTGCCATTTTTGTTTAAGGGCTTTGCTCTATGTTATCATCATAAGGATCAGTGGACTAAAAACATTAGTTTCTACTGCTGCAAGTTCCTCTAAACAAGCCGCTATATCACCTTCCCTTTTCACCTACATGACTAAAACATATTAATCGGTTTTCAAAATTAATCACGAAAGTCAAGGGGTTGTTAC